GGGGGGGGGGGGGGGGGGGGGGGGGGGGGGGGGGGGGGGAGGGCTGCCTACGGTCAGGAGCTGAGAAAAGCCAATATGGGGTAGCTTGGGACTGTGGGAGACTGAGGCTGCTTGCCTGGGCCCCTGCTGGAACCTCTCTGGAGGCCCATCCTACAACCCAAAGGCCTATGTGGCTCCTTGTGGATCCCTACAGCTCCCTCGGAGGCCCCTTCACTGGGCCAGGTCATGCGCTGCCCCAAGTGTCTGCTCTGCCTGTCAGCGCTGCTCACACTCCTGGCCCTCAAAGTGTACATTGAGTGGACATCTGAGTCCCGACTCAGCAAGGCCTACCAAGGACCCCGGGGGACTCCACCCAGTCCCACGCTAGCCAGCACTGAGCCCACCCTGCCTGCCAACCTCTCTGTCCGCCTGGGCCAGACTGGCCCACTGCCCTCAGCTTACTGGAACCAGCAGCAGTGGCGTCTGGGGACCCTGCCTGGTGGGGACTGCCAGGCTTGGGGGACTGCTGCTGCCGCCGAGATCCCTGACTTTGCCTCCTACCCTGAGGACCTGCGCCACTTCTTGCTGTCTGCAGCCTGCAGGAGCTTCCCGCAATGGCTGCCTGCAGGTGAAGCTAGCCATGTGGCCAGCTGCTCTGATAAGGATGAGCCCTACCTGCTGTTGGCTGTCAAGTCGGAACCAGGACGTTTTGCAGAACGACAGGCAGTGAGGGAGACATGGGGTAACACAGCTCCTGGGATTCGGCTGCTCTTCCTGCTGGGGTCGCCATTGGGACAGGGGGGACCTGACCTAGGCTCACTGGTAGCCTGGGAGAGCCAGCGCTACAGTGACCTGCTGCTGTGGAACTTCATTGATGTCCCCTACAACAGGACACTCAAAGACCTGCTGTTTTTGGCCTGGCTAGGCCACAGCTGTCCCAGTGTAAATTTTATCCTGCAAGCTCAGGACGATGCCTTCGTGAACATCCCTGCCCTTCTGGATCACCTGAAGGCCCTGCCGCCCACCTGGGCCCGAAGCCTCTACCTGGGTGAGATCTTTACCCAAGCCAAACCCCTCCGGAAGCCTGGAAGACCCTTCTATGTGCCTGGGTCCTTCTTTGAAGGTGGCTACCCAGCCTATGCAAGTGGGGGTGGCTATGTCATTGCAGGGCGCCTGGCTCCCTGGCTGTTGCAGGCGGCAGCCCGTGTGGCACCCTTCCCCTTTGATGATGTCTACACTGGCCTCTGCTTTCGTGCCCTAGGCCTGGTGCCCCGGGCCCACCCAGGCTTCCATACTGCCTGGCCAGCAGACCGTACCATGGACCCCTGTGCTCTCCAAGGCCTGTTGCTGGTGCGGCCCCTCAGCCCCCAGGATAACATTCGGCTCTGGAGACAGCTGCAGGACCCTCAGCTCCAGTGCTGAGCCTGGGTGGGGAGCCAGAGTTGGCTGGGCCTGGGTACCTGCTTTCCCAGACCTCCTTCTAGGCTTGGATGTGAGGCTCTAGGCAGATCAGGACTGCTTGAGCCCCTCCTGAGCCCTCCATGGCCAGGGAGGATGAGGTGGAAGATTGTTTTGTCTATTTTCTGTTTTTGAAAAATATGCACTCCACTCTCATACCTAGAGTTGTTTTTGAGTCTGTGGGGTCCCCAGAGTAGTACAAAGCAGAGCTCAGCCATGCCCTGACCTTAACACTAGGCACTCCCCTTCCTGGCCAGTCCAGCTCCAATGGGCATCCTGGGACAACCTTGGGAGAGCAGGTGACTGTCTCCCACCTCCAACCACCCAAGATGACCCTTCACCTCCACAAGTTTCCAGGGGGAGCAGGTATTGCAAAGTCTTTGGTCTTACCTACCTAAAGTGGAGAAGCTGGGGTGTGCCTAATCAGTCGAGCTGGACTCTTTCCCCACCCCCAACTCCAGGAAACAGACCAGAGCAGGTACAGAGCCAAATGTAGAGCCACAGTTTATTCACTATGCTGACCAGTTTTCACTGGGCTAGCTGCAGGACTGCCCTGCCATGCCCAGCTGTGCCCAGCCCTGATAGAGGGGCTTCCAGGCCTGAGGCCCTGGCCCAGCCCCTGGGAGAAGGCACTGTAACAGATGAAGGGGAAGACAGCCTCAGCGTTGGCTGAAAACACTGCCCCCAAATGGAGCTGCCTGGAGGAACAGGGATGGGAAGCAGAAGATGCCCCCGACTGTGTGAGGTGCCTCCCCTCTGTGTATTTTAGGGGAGCTGGCTGGAGAACAGGGAGTGTCCTATCAGCCCTATGCACCCTGCTCAGAGTGGGACTACCTCTTGGGGTAGTTGGGGCCTCACTTGTCAAAGTGGTCCAGGGGGTAGTGCTCCCCATAGGTCTGCAGGTGCCGGGCCAAGGACTCCTGCTGCTTGCGGAGCTGGGCGGGCATCTCCTGGTACACGTCTGAGAAGAGCAGATTGGGGTTAGGCTTTGGCTTCCGCTCAGCCTGTTCAAAGGCCTCCATCACCTGGGAGACAAGGGAGGATGGAAGGTAGTTGGCTTCCCCCATGGCCCAGCCTCCTCCCTGGAGGACTTTGGCCAGGCAATCACCAATACCCCCAGATCCCAATGTAAGGATCCATTTAGCCTCTCAGCAGCCCTAAGATGGAGGCAGGTACAGGTACAGGGAGGTACAGGGAGGAGGAACTGGCGTGCAGAGAAGAAAAGGGGCCAGCCCAGGATGATGCCAATGGGACACAGTCAGGACACATGGCACTGCCTAGAGTCAGGTCTACTCACACCATGGGGCAGCCCTGCTTCGCTGGCTCCAGCTGTGGCAGAGGTGAGGGCATGTGGCAGCCTCTACATGGGATGCACTCACCAAAAATGGACCAAACCACCTAATCCTCAAATTTCACCCCTCACAAGTAGGCCCGCCTTAGAGACAAGAAAATAGACAACTTGCCCAGGACATGCAGCAAGAATAAGTCACATGGCCCAGGCAGCCTGGCTTCACAGGCCATACCTGGGGACAGTGCTGGGGTTACCCCAGTCTCCCAGTTTGATGAACCCAGACCTCAGCAGCTCTCCTAGAGTTCTCCCAGTACAGCAGCCCCTCCAGTGCCCTTGCATGGGATGTGGGGCAGCCCTCACCTTCTTGCGTGACTGCTTCCTCCAGGCCCTCTCCTGTTCCTCGTCCCACCAGCCTCGGCTAAGCAGGTAGTGCCTCAGCCTTGAGATCGGGTGATCTTGCTTGTCCCAGTAATTGACCTCATCCACTGAGCGATAGGCCGAGCTGTCATCACTAGTGCTGTGGTGTCCAATCCTACCAGGGAGGGGCCCAGTGTCAGTGGGGGTCCCTGGAGTGGGTCTGGGAGAGCGGGAGGGGGTGGACTAGGGAAGAGTAAAATGAAGAAGGGGATGCAACACAGGGTAACAAGCCAAGTTTTGGGGACAGTGATATAAGGGAAGCTGTCAGAGCCATGGGGGACAGTGATGGGGGGAAAGGCAGGCACCTGTAGGTCATGGCCTCAATGAGGAAGGGCTGGTTCTCTGCCACAGCCCGCCGTCGGGCCTCCTTGGTGGCATTGTACACAGCAAATACATCGTTGCCATCCACACGGATAGACATGATTCCGTACCCAGGGCCTCGTGCAGCTGTGGGGACAGAAAGGAGGCTGGTCAGGGCCCAGGATTGAGATGAGGAAAATGTGTGGCAGGTAGAAACAGACAGAGGCAGAGTACGGAAGGGAGGAGGGTGAGACAGGCTCAGTTTCCCACCTCCAGACACACAGGAAGATAGCAGTGAGGGAGGGTGGGGCTGGGGGCAGCGGGGCCCTTACCAATGCCATCCCCCCGGTACTGCTCAGAGGTGGGTGTGGAGATGGCATAGCCATTGTTCCGGCAGAAGAAGATGATAGGACACTCAAGGGTGGCAGCAAAGTTGAAGCCGGCATGGGCGTCCCCCTCACTGGCTGCCCCCTCACCAAAGTAACAGATGACAACTCGGTTGGCGTTGGCCCGCTTGGCTGCATAGGCTGCCCCCACCGCTGCACAGGAATGAGCAGAGAGAGAGGCATATACACACCCACCCCAACCGGGCTGGGGGCCCAGGCCGGCTGTCACCAGGCACTGAGGGGAACCCCCAGAGCCTGCCCACCCCAGAGCTATCCTTCTAGTTACTCAGGCCAAAACTTTCAGCATCATGCCTGACTCCAAACTTTTGCTCATTCCCCACATCTATGCCACCTTCAAAATATAGCCAGGATCTGAACCTTTTCTACCACATCTGTCCGCCACACCACCAGGACCAAGTCACCATCACCTCATGCCTGAATTTGTGAGCTGCCTTCTCGCTGGCTCCTGAACTGCCCCCTCAATCTGTTATCCAAGGGATTTAAACTGTAAACCAGGCAAGTCCACGGTGGAATCCTCCCCACCCCTCAGCTCCTAGGCCACTGCAGGTCAAAGTGTCTGCAAAAGGCAAAGGTGGCCAGACCCACCTGCTCTGCCAATCTGCACCCCTCTCCTATCTCTCAACTTTATCCTCACGTACCCTTAGCCCCCACAGCCCCCCCTGTGCCCCTCACACAATTGAGCACATACCTACCTCAAGATGCCCATATGGCTTTCTCCCTCAGCCCCTTCTGTTCTGTACTTAAATGTCACATTTCATGATGACTCTCTTCCACTGCTCCAATGCACACTGCTCTGTCCTAGCTTCCTGTTCCTGACAGACATATCTTCCCCAATACACACTAGGTGCTGCCCCCCCACCCCACTGCCAGCACCAGCAGGGCTGAGACTTGCAATTTGTTCAGTAAGCCCACCATGGCATCTGCACATAACAGGCCATCATCCCTCTGTAAAGTGAGGTTCTCACAGCGTGTGGGAATGGCAGGTTAGACGAGGAAATCCTCGTCTGGAAATCCTGCTCACTTTTAGCACAATGTGGTCTCCTGAGAGAACGCTTCACAGTCCACCTCCCTCCCAGGAAGCTTGCCCTGCTCCCTGTTCCCTGCTTCCAAACAGCACTGAGCTAAGGTGGTCCAGTGTGAGGACTGCAGATGCACCAACACCTGCAGTGGGGCTGCCTTGGGGCAAGAGAGCTCTAGCTGGGCCACCTGCCACCAGACTGCAGGTCCTAGGAGGTAGGAAGGGGGTCCAATTCCTTGGTCTCCACACTGTGTAGGCACAGGTCTACACTCTGGGGGCCTACAGTGAGCTCTGGGAAGTCTGCTTGGCTCCAAGGACTGAGGCCAATGAGGGGCAATGAGAACCTGGGTCACACAGCCCATGCGTCAAGTTTCTGCTCTCCTCTCTACCAGCCATGTGACCTTCAGCAAGTCACCTCCCCCGACTTCAATTTTCTGTTCTTTATAGTAGGAATAACAATAAAAAATAGTGTTTGCTCCCACGGCCAGGGATAGTGTCTGATCCATTAGACAATAGATGGGAAGCAGTGGCACAATGCCTGGGAAATCCGGAGGGTGGTCGTGCAGGCTGAAGGTGCTGAATGGGTCACCACTTCCACCGAAGGTCCCACATGAGAAATACCTGGAAAGCTGGCACATGGGCCAGGCTCTGACAGCAGTGCCCACCCAGGCATCCTAGAAGGGCTAGACCCACACAGGGCTATGACAAGCATGTATCCTTACCTTGAGGGATCTGTGTGGCCAGTGGAGAGGAGATGGTGACAAAGTGGCGCTCCTTGCAGCCATAGTGAACGGGCATCTGGCGCCCCTTGCCTGGGTCACTAATATTCCCATAGCACTGGGCCATGAACAGTTCCAGCGGGTAGTCCCGATACATCAGCACACCTGATAGGAGGCAGCCATGAGTCTGGTGGGCATTTTTTTTTTTTTTTGGTGGGGAGGGTCAGACCAACCCTGGATGACCTGGGGCCAGCCCCTGCTGCCCAGAGCTTCTGACTCCCCAACTGTACAAAAAAAGGAACCAGATGGGTATGGTGTTTCACTCCTATAATCACAGTACTCAGCAGATTAAAGCAGGAGGACTGCGAGTTCCAGGTTAGCCT